ATGAGGAATGCGATACGATGATACGAGGATTTAGAGAACACAGAAACCCTGTGAACACGGCTAAAGGACACAGAAACCCTGTGAATACGGCTAAGGACATAGAAACTTCTCTTCAATTATCTTCTCCCCCTGAAGAGAAGGGTATGTCGGAGTCAAGAAAGAGGCAAAATCTCCATGATAAAGAGAAACAGATCCTTTTTCACTCCCCCTCCCCCCCCTTTGAAGAGGAGGGGAGGAGAAATTTTGATATGAGAATTTAGAGACAACCGAGGATCGATTGCTCTGATACCATGCTAAAATATGAATATGAGTTTTGAATATGTTAGGTTCTTTTTTATTCATCTCCATAAGGAGGTATATATAAGAGTTCACACGAGTGCTTTACAAGGAATTAGATCTAGTAAAGGATTAGGAGAATATCTCCTAATTATACAATGATTTAACAACTATATAAAATAGGAAAGTAAATCCCTTAATTAATCAAGGAAATAAATCTCCTTGATTAATTAGGAGACTCACTTCAACAATTACATTCCAACCTGTAAACGGGCCAGCCGTGTCGGTCCAAATTTAAACAAGCCGGTCCAAATATAAATGGTCTGGACTCGTCACAAATCCGGCCTGCATGTTGTACACCTCTACACATTTGATCGGTAATTATGAATAATGAGTGATCACATTGACAAACCACCATCTATACACTATGCCAGTAAACTATGCCAGTAACGTCACCGTTTGGTATGGTCTTGCTACGACTCATGCACACATAGTATATATGTTGTTAGATTGTAAATTATACGCTTAGATGTAATTCTATATGATTAATAACTAATAACTAAACATACCAGATGGTTTAGCAAATATTTCTATTACTTTTGAGTTCAGTATTAGCATTGTTAGTACAAATTTCAGTAGTTGATATGAGGTATCGTTTGACCTCAAACAAGTAATGTTTGAAACGAAGGTTTTAAGAAAGTTGAATTGTAAAAGTTAGATAAGGGAATCAAGGTATTGAAATCGAATCAACTACTCCCTTCTAGTTGATTTCATTCCATATTTTGAGGGTATTCAATGAAGGAAGTTGAGGTTCCACCCCAAAACCAATTTCTTTGCCCCCTCCTCCAAAGCCGCGTAGTTTTCATACCATCCTCTCTCATTTCAGAAGGAAATTATTATAATTATTTTTTGTTAACAACAATTTCATAAGGTTTAATTAATTTACCTGAAATGGGCATATTGGCTAAAATACTCGAGCACAAGAATAAAATTGATCATGTGATAACGAGAGAACAACGCGGTAAAAAGCATTTTCGTATTTACCCCGAAAAAGAGCCAACAAAAAAAACGAAGCGAGAGAAAAAAAAAAAAAAAATT